AATCTGGTGTGCACTGCGTTCGATCGACTCAACGCTGTCGTGTACAATAAAACTTATCAGAAACGACAGAAAATATACTTGGCCCTATGTTACTCGTGTATAGTCGTTTACTCCATCACTTTGGCTTCGATCAACCCATTATTGTTGGAATATCATAATAACGAGTGCATTCCATCACACAGCAAACGGGGAAACTGGATTGATACGTTAATCAAAATTGATTCTGTATGTTGGCCTTTATTTTCTTATACAATTCCATGTGCCGCAGTGATTTTGATGTACAGCAAGATTATCACCGAATTGCGCAAACCCACTTCGGCTTCGAGAGCTAGTCCCGCCAATCAAAGCATGGATAGGATCCAGAACATTCGGAAACGTCCACGCCACAGGCAAATTGCACATTCCCTGACCATTGCAACATGCATTATGCAAACGTTGTTTCTCCTGACGCATGCTCACGATCGGATTTACTATTTTCTTGGGATAAATCACTGGATCGAGTATCGCGTTGGTTCGGTACCACATCTTCTTGGACTTTGGCTTATCACACTGAACAGTTGTTTGAATCCTGCAGCGCTGGTGTTTACTATGAAAACCCTGCAACAGTGGATTATTTGTCGTGTCCGTACTACTGTTAGTACGGCGGAATCAGATAACCCACAGTCGGATCGAATGTTCCTGGATTTATTGCGATCACGTTCAGCTAAATTCAGTCTAAACGACGCGGCTACACCGAGCACCAACCTTTAAAACGTTGTCTTCAGGTAACTTGGGTGATGCGTTCTTGAGTAACGTCCAGTTCCCCGCTGTAACTATTTTCACATACAAACCCTATCAATTGGGCAGGTCAAGATGGTTGTCAAAAACAATATGTATGTATTCTGGCTTCAGACTTCATACTACGTGGGTGTACACTAAAACAACCAGAATCTTCCTTTCAGACGAAACAAAATCGGCGAGATAGTTCGTTCACTGTTGGGCTCTTTGGATGCTTATTCAAGTGACCCTAAATAACGTAGTCGAATAGTTATGTTGCATGTATTGTGTAGGATGGAAAGGATAACTTCACATTTGTCGGTGCTTATGTGATTTCGCAATTTGTAGTAAATCTACATTCAGCAAGTGAACTAGAGGTCAAGGACTGTGTTACGGCTGTTTCATTTTCGCCATCAATCATCATCAATCATGAATTACTGTTGCACGTCTCCTGAAACTTCAAGAGAGTTCGAACGTGCGACCTTTGGGCCCATAGCTAACCAATACTGTATCGCCTGGCCACTGATGGTTGTACGCTGATTAACAATCGATCCTCAGTGCAGTGCGCATGACGA